ATTTTATTTATTTATTTGAGAGAGAGAATGAGATAGAGCATGAGAGTGGGGAGGGTCAGAGGGAGAAGCAGACTCCCTGCTGAGCAGGGAGCCCCATGCGGGACTCGATCCCGAGACTCCAGGATCATGACCTGAGCTGAAGGCAGTCGCTTAACCAATTGAGCCACCCAGGCGCCCCTCAACTGGTTCTTTTTTAAGCTGCAATGATTTTTAAGGCAGTGGCGATCCCCAATTCATATTGTTCAACTTCCTATTGTGGATGTTGATCTGAAGAAAACCGGGGCATGTCATCCGTTGACTTGTATTCCTGCAAGAGGCCACTGTTTCGCACAGGGCTTAGGGGCACAAAACCCACTTCGCTTCTAGGGAAAATTCACTGTGGGAACCAACCAAACCTTGAAAGTATTCTTAACTGGACATTTAGTGTTCCATGAAACCACGAAATTTATTTATTTCTTTAAAATATAAAAGCCTACGTAGCCTGCTGCTTTTCTAGGGTTGGATGACTAACGACTAAAAGCCAGTTGTGTTAGCCTCCCAAACACTGATTTTTCTTTTTTCCGTCTATGTTGTTTTTCATCTTTGGCCATTATTCTGTTGTTGATTACCTTGTTTTAAAAAATTGGCAGTGTGAGAATCAAATTACAGATGGGTGATTTTGTGGATTTTTTTTTTCTGCAAGTAATTTTAAAAAGACTGGCATATCATTCATGAAATTGAATAATAGGTCAGAGCATTTGTTCCCTATTCTTACACGGACTTATTCATAAAAGCAGTCCTCAGGAAAAGGCCACAATGCTGATGATGAGTGAAAATGAGAGTAATCTGAGTTTTAGAAATGAAAAAAAAGGCAATTGAAAAAATTAATGTCTTCTTGGAAGCCATTTCTGCTGCAGTGTTCACCTCATTAAAATAGATTGTTTTTTTTTCCCCCCTGTCCAACCCAGCTAACCATTAGATCTAACAACTAGAAACCAATGAAGGTGTAATCTTCAGCATGCATTTTTAAAAATAAAAATATATTTTTTAAAAGCAACATGTATTTATTATAGAGAAATGAGAAATACAGATCACCAAAAGAGAAAAATAACATCACTCTTCATCCTATCACCCTGACATAACCATCTCTAATGTTATGTGAACAACAGAGAGAAATGGAACTTTTAATCATAAATGGAGTAAGAGATGACAGCAATAAAAACAGTTTGTACTTACGGAATTTTTGCTATGTGTCAGACACTTTTCTATGCACCTCCTTCATTAGTGTGTCCCCATCTTGCAGTTGGCCTCATCTCCAGCACACAGATGAAGAAGGTGAGGTACCAGAGGGGGAGTAGGTGTAGCTTGCTCCAGGTTCCAGTGCGAGGACACAACAGAGCTAGGGTCCAAACTTAACGGACAAGAGTCAGACGCGGGGTCTGAACCCAGGCATCCTGATTCTCCAGTCTAGACTCTGAGGCAGTCATAGGATATGTTTTAATACAGTGCTCATATTTAATTTTATTTGAATTTAATGGATGAGAAACAGGTGGAACTGAAGGAATTTCTGAACTTCTGACAAATTATAAAATAAGTTTTGATGATTATTGAAAAGAGCCGTTTTTCTCTATGTTCTCCCTGTTCTCTCTCCCTTTTTGAAGTTGCCCGGTGTCTGCATTGTCCGCGCGGGTAACTGTGCTATACCACGGTGTCTCCCTTGGAGCCCTCGTGTGCTCTTCCGTCTAGGTGGCCATATATACGTGATGCTCACTACCAGTCTTCATGTTCATGTCTCTCCAGTCACTTCGGTTGTTCGAAGCTCTAAACATTTTCTCAGGGAGGATTCATGGGACCAGCATTTCCTGAATTATTTACACATGGATGGAGTCTGCTGCATTAATAATTGAAAGTCATTTTAGCTAGATATAAAATCCACGGCTCACGTGTTCTTGCCTTGGGTATCTTAAATGTGGCATCCATTTTCTTCTGGCATAAAACGTTGTCAAAGTCTGCTGACAATGGAATTTTCTGTATTGAAATACTTGGTCTTGGAGCGCCTGGCTGGCTCAGTCAGTGGAGTGTGTGACCCTTGATCTCGGGGTCATGAATTTGGGCCCCACATTGAGCATAGAGCTTACTTTAAAAACAAACCAATGCACACTTGTTCTCTTCTGTCTGATTGTCAAAAGCTTTATTTCTTCCAAGTCCAGTAATTTTACCAGAATACGTCTTGGTGTTGTTGGTCATCCAGGCTTGATTTCTGAGGTAGGTGGTGTACCCATTCAGTATGCAGTCTCAGATGTTTGTTTTTAATTTCAGTAAAAATGTCCTCACTTACAGACTTCACTTACTCTGTTCCCTTGTTTTCTTTGCCTGTCTTCTGTATTTGTCACATCCTCTTGAATAATTTTTATCCACCTTCATTTTTTTTAAGTTTTGATGATTATTGAAAAGAGCCGTTTTAATGAATTTTTTTAGAGAGTGTGTGTGTGTGCGCGCAAGCGGGAGTAGGGGCAGAGGGAGAGAGAGTGAGAGTGAGAGAATCTCAGGCAGACTCCCTGCTGAGTGTGGAGCCCAACTCGGGGCTGGATCCCAGGACCCTAAGATCATGACCTGAGCCAAAGTCAAGAGTTGGCCGCTTAACCCACTGAGCCACCCCGTCTCTGTCTGGGTCAGTGTGGCGTCTTTGTGCCCAGTTGCTCCTCAGAGTGGGACTTGGCCCTGGAAGGGAGCTTTGGATGGTTTTGAGAGTTCTTGGGGCCCAGGCAGCTCCCAGGCTCTACCACGGGACTCCTTGCACTCAGTCACTATTTGAAAGGGCAAACCCCTGCCGGTCTTAGTTGTTGTTCATAAATTAGCTTGCTGAGGTTTGAGTTATTTTAGAGTTCTCAGATCTATCAGATGTCTGGCTGGTTACCTCTCCGTACCGCTCCATAACTGATTCCACTGTGCTCGTGTAGCTGTCTTGAATTTGTCCCACCCATTTGTATTTCAGGGTTCACAGGGGACTCATCTTGATCCGGTTCTGTTGTAGATTGTGTCTGTGGATTTGGCTGTTGCTTCCCTCCTTACCCTAGTTACCTTTTCTACTTGTGTCTTCTATGGTGGCATTTGGGGACATTTAAAAACTATGCTGCTGGGCGCCTGGGTGGCTCAGTCATTGGGTGTCTGCCTTCGGCTCAGGTCATGGTCCCAGGATCCCGGGATCAAGTCCCACATCGAGCTCCCTGCTCAGCGGAAAGCCTGCTTCTCCCTCTCCCACTCCCCCTGCTTGTGTTCCCTGTCTCGCTGTGTCTCTGTCAAATAAATAAATAAAATCTTTAAAAAAAAAACCCAAAACAACTATGCTGCCAGGGCGCCTGAGGGGCTCAGTCGGTGAAGCGTCTGCCTTCGGCTCAGGTCATGATCCCGGGGTCCTGGAATCGAGCCCCGCGTCGGGCTCCCTGAGTCTGCTTCTCCCTCACCCTCTGCCTGCCGTTCCCCCGCCTTGTGCTTGCTCTCTCTCTCTCTCTGTCAAATAAATAAAATCTTTAAAAACAAAAACAAAACTATGCTGCCGACCACTACCTTCCTCCCAGGATTTCTCTGTAAACTACGGACCACGGGCCAAATCTTGTCTCCTGCTTGCTTGTCTACAGCCTGCGAGCTAAGAATGGTTTTTATACGTTTAAATAGTTGAAAAGATCTAAAGAAGAATATTTTGTCCTAGCACATGAAAATTATCTGAAATTCAAATGTCAGCGCATCCGTTAGTTTTGTTGGAAGACAGCCGCACCTGCTTATTTACATGTTCTCTGTGGCTGTTTTCATGCTGTAACAGCAGAGTGAGTTTTGGGGACAGAGACTCAAAGCTGAAAATATCTATTATCTGGCCATTGACAGAAAAAGTTTGCCAACCCTGGTCCTATAATGTACTTTTTAATGGCTAAATAGTATTCCATTGTGTGAATATATCATAATGTACTTAACCAAGTCCCTATTATTGGGCATTTAGATCAATTCTAAATTTCATCATTATAGGCATCATTTCATAGCTTATATTAGTGTATATATTTTATTATTTTGGGGAGGGATATATTGTTACAGGTAAGATTGCTGGATCAGAGGAGATTGTTCAACTCTTTTTAAACTCTTTGATTAATATTGACAAATTGTCATCCAGAAAGGATATACAGGCTAAATATCTATTAAGGATACTGATTCAATAAATTATGGTGCCTTCATGCAATGAAATATTGTGCAGAGGGGGGCACCTGGGTGGCTCAGTCGTTAAGCGTCTGCCTTCGGCTCAGGTCATGATCCCAGGGTCCTGGGATCGAGCCCCGCATCAGGCTCCCTG